AATCAAGAATCACATCCAATTCAACATTGCTAAAATTAGAAATACATAAACATCCATTTTCACATATGCCATTGCAAGGATAAATAAATAGGACGAAATCAAAATTCATTTTATTGCGGAAAAACTTGTCCTTACAATGCAATTCAAATGAAAACTATGCTATTTCAATTTCTAAGCAATCTATTCTAACTCTAAAGTAGTAGCTCAAAAATCCGATCTTCAAGTAATGCGATCGAAATCCATTTCTTCACGATCAGATTCAGCTTACTTCTTCCCTTAAGCTTCCTCTCTTTTCTTCGATCCTACAAAACATCAAAATGTAATCTTATCACATCATGTATTGAAAATCAAAGAATAGGAACTTATAGAGTTAGTTATTGGATTTTACCTGAAGTAGAGCCATACGTCTTGACTCTCCCATCTCTTAGATCTCTCAGGTAAACAGGGCAGCTTCGTCTCCAATGCCCCTTCTCTTGGCAGTAGAAGCAGATGGACTCTTTTGGAATGGCACAAGGAACTATCTCAGAATTTACCTTTTCTGGATTTCCAATGTCACCATTTTCAATGTCCATTGAAGTTTGGGAGTTTGATTTGCCAGACAAATTTGCTCGATCAGCACGCCAAATCATTTCTGATTCAGCAGCTATAAGCAAATAGGTCAAATCAATGAGGGTCACGTCATGGTCCATCATATAGTACTCTCTAACGAACTCACTATATGATTCAGGAAGTGACTGAAGAACCCAGTCAACAGCCAACATTTCTGAGATATCGACACCCATCATCCTTAACCTATCAATGTGTGACTTCATCTCTAAGATGTGTGCACACACAGGTTTCCCATCTTCGTGTTTACTTGCCAATAGGGCTTGAGTGAGCTTGAACTTTTCAAGCCTTTAGGGAGAATAATTGGAGGAGGTGGAGGAAGTGAAGCATGACTCTCATTTCCTTGATCGTATCGTGGAACGTCATCTTCATTTGGAAAGCTTGTTCCAAGGGACTTGGGAAGACCATTGTAAGATTTAGACATCTACAAAACGGGAGAAAATTCAAGTTAGTTGATAAGAATCCTTGATGTAACACCCAAATGAAACATCAAGGCTAGGATCCAACACAATACTCTACAACCTAGAAGAGGGATGCCGTAATCTAGTTGCAGAATATTTGAAGGTAGGTAAATGAATTGAAACTCTACAACTTTTAAGTTTTAAATGAATTGAAACTCCTAGATCTTTTGAGATTCATTGAACTTTTCAATGGCATGTTTAATCTCGATTATGCCCTTCTATTTGTGACTGGGATGCCGAGGATCACAAACAAGGTGTGAATAACCATACGAATCACGTGGTGCACCCAATTGCTACTATCACCTAATCAATGTGCCGGTTAGCCACACACGCTCCATTGATCTATGATAAACATCGAGCCACCCTTCGCCACCAATGTCAATCCCAAATTAGTGTGCCGGTTAGCCACACACGCTCCACTAACGTTTGACAAGGGTACGAAGTGTAATTCCATGGATTAGCATACAAATTCACATTTTGCCCTAAAGTAACTAAGATTGGGAATTTGTAAAAGCATTTAGTTACTTTGTACTTCATTATACTTATAATGGAAGGTTTCGTCCTATCCTACCCGTTCGGCTAACGACCCTCCACTAGTCAAGAGTGCGGTGGGTAAGAGTGGATACCCATTCAATCGCCATTTTATAGGCAATTTCCTTAAACACCCCTTATAGACCAGCTTCGTGAATGAGGCCTACTAACGGTAAGACTGACTCTTTACTATATATATAATATTAGACTTTTAATGTTACATATATATAGTATAGGGTGTATTTTACACTTTTAAAATACTAGGTGGTTTTATTAACTTTCTCTTTTAATTAAACTTTTAATTAACTTAACAAAACCATGAGGGTGTAATTTGAACTTTTCAAAATACTAGAGTTTTAGAATTTAAATATTACATAATTAAACTATTAATCAAAATTTTAAATTCCAAAACTTGAGGGCAAGTTTTGAAACATTTCAAAACATTGGGTTTTAGAATTTAAATATTTCAACATTAAACTTTTAATCAAAATTTTAAATTCCAAAACTTGAGGGCAAGTTTTGAAACTTTTCAAAACATTAGGGTTTAACTATTTAAATTTCAAAAACAAAACTTTTAAGTTCAAATTTAAACTATAAAACCTAAAGGGAGTAATTTGAAACTATTCAAACTTACTAGGGATCAAATAACAAATAATATAAATCAAACAATTAATTTAGTGATTATCTATATTTGACCTAATCCAATTTTAGTCACAAGATAATTACCAAATAATTTGAATAATCTATATTATCATATAAAGAAACTATTATTCAAAGATTTGAAATTATCTTTTGTTTTGGTAAGGATAATCATTTACATACAATAAAATTCGGATTTTATTATCAAAAAACGATTTTGGCATCAATCCTACAACAAAACAGCAAGTAAATCCGAATATACTCTGTCAGACTCCCGGACTCGCCGAGTCAGTCCCTCGCCGAAAACTCGCCGAGTCCAGATACTGACTCGCCGAGTTGAGTCGGCAGAGGCAAAAAAAAAATTGATTTTCAGCAGAAAAACGACAATTGCATCACATACAACAGAAACCAATCAAGGCTCTGATACCACTGATGGGTTTTAAGCATAAGAACAATCCTATGTGCTCATACAAACCCTAATGCTTGGATCTAGGTTTCTCTATTGTACATGCAATGAATCCAAGACTTACAAACCCTAGATCTATCAAATAAGAACTGAAATAAGGGTTTAGTAATTACCTTTGATTGTTATATAGCAATAACAATCAATCCTGCTTTGATTGGCTTCAGAAAGCTTAGTGCCTCAAGTGTTGCACCTCTAATGGAGTCACAAACACCACTAAGCAACTTGGATGAAGAGGGAGGAGAGAGGAGGCACCAAAAACGGCTGGAAACCCTAGAGGAACACTTGTCCACGTTTTTGGGGCATAGGGGTCCTATATATACATGTAGGCTATTAGGGTTTACAACTAGGAAACCCTAATCTGACTGCTTAAGCCCTAAGCAGTCCAATGGACCATTCCAGAAGGCCCTTGGACGATTTCTTTATGGCCTCCATATAGAATTCGTCCATTGCCATCTAATGGATCCTAAGCCCAACTTTGTAACTATCTTATAATTACAATATCAGTCCCCTTAATTTAATTAATCTCTTTTAGTCACAAAATTAATTCTTAATTAATTCTTGACTAATATTAATTAAACTATATGATTTCTCCTTTAATATATTATTCTTATAATATATTAATAAATCATAATTAAACCTTTCTCTCTCCTTAATTCATCCTACATATTGCTATGGTGAAGGCAACCCAAAAGGACCATGCTCATAATCGGGTCAAGTACATACCAAAATAGTTATGGACTTAGACACTAATCCAACAGTTTCATGATCATAGTAGTACCTATGTTTCATGATCATAGTAGTTTTCATAACGGATTATGCTAATGATGCAACCAAATCCCGGAGGGAGAGGGTTTAGATAGATGGGTATAGAGTATAGAGCCTTCTTGCTTGAGTTGATTGTTCAAAGACACATTGATCATAAAGAAAAGACTAGGGTTGGCTGTAATCCGGGGGTGTTTTTCGAGATTAAGTTTCTACGCCAAAGTTAAGGGTGTATACTCAAGAGACTGTCTGAGAACGATAAAGAGAATTAGGAAGTAAATTGTTATTTGTTGATACCTCCTATAAAGGAGGTATTTATAGTTTTGGTGAGCGGACAATGTTTGTTTCATTATATGATTTATGAGGCACTGTCATGTATGATTTTGCAGGTGATTGTGGGTGACGCACAATTCTTTGCAAGAATTTGGTGAGATGATTTTGATTCTCACGCCTTCTTTTAGGTTCGGTTGTATCGCAATCGGACTCGACCTATATCCTAGTTCCTAGGGTGTCATTGCTTGGTCCACTATAATTCAACCGGGTCGTTGTCCGTCTTACAGACATGTTGGGTGGTACTCTACTAGTTTTTTTGTTTATATTTGATATATCATGATTTCGAACAAACATAAATGTGTTTGTATGGCTTTGTTTAGAAGTTTTAGTAATGTGTGTTCCACCACTGTCTAGATATTAAAATTCTATACATATACATCTATTTTACTCTCTAGACACATTCCTACAACAAAATGAATGCTTGTTTCTTGTAGAAGGATTCATCCTGCTTCTGTATCCTCTTCATAGTTCGAACACAAAAGCAAGTTGTAGGTTCATCATTTGCTCACTAATCAAATGAACCACAAATGAATTTTGGTGAGTTTTTTACTTTTTAAGCAAAATATATTCGGCATTATTTTCAGGGTAAATTGGCAGAACTTTTTTTACTTTTTAAGTCAAAATATATTCAGATTCTAGTTCTAGCACCAAACATATCATACTTACAATCTAAAAAATTAATTACAACGCAAATGCATGTTGTAAACTCAATTCAGACTTGTTTAGTCTTAAAAATATAAAATACTTTTTATTTAATAAAAAAATAATTAAAAGAAAATTCCAAACTAAGCAATTCTCGATTCAATGACCTCCGCCGAGAATTTCGGACTGCAATTGAAATCATTCTGTACGCAACTAATTAAAAAATAATAAATAAAATAAAAACTTATCCAGATAATATCCACCAATAAAAGAAAATTTAAAAAAGGAAAATACGATTCTATTTTGGAATGTTTGTACCGGATAATCAGGATACTGAATCCGACCCGAACCCAAACCCAAAACCTCCTACAAGATAATGCTGACATGGCACAATAACTGAACCGTTATCTTTGGTTGAATAGCGTTAAGGTTAGTTATTCCGGATCTAACTAATTAGTTAAGCGTCGGTGATTGAATTAACTTAACCATAGTTAATTTGTCTTTTTAACATGTCGAAATCAAACGCCGTTAACTTTTAGCCATTTTCATGTATTCTTCTCTATAAATGAGGCCGTTAGTTGGGACTGCTGATTTGACTCCTCACTTCGTCTCTTTCCCTCTCCCTGCACACATATATACCATCCCTCACCTTATTGGGAATTCAGATCGAAACATACTAAAATTACACACACTCACTGTGTGTGAGAGTGTCAGAAAGCTTGAAGGAGAGAGGAAGAAGCTAGAGTTTTTGAAATGGCAATGGCGGTGGTTAAGGAATCGGTGTTTCGTTGTTCAATTCTGTTGCTTATTGCGTCGCTTATGGTCGTCTCCGCCGCCGCCGCCGGTGATAAATCGGATGTTAGGTGCGTTTCTCTTTCCCTCATTCCAATCGGTGTTTGTTTTGGTTACGACGAAGTTGAAGCTTGATTCTGATTCATAACAATGTGTATTTCCGTTTGTCGTAATCTGCATTAATCGTTTTCAAATGAGTTTTTAGAATGTTGAAATGAGTTTATTAGAAATATTGAAATTGGAATGTGATATGTGAAATATGTGTATGACGCAGGGCTGTTGAAACAGAGCAGTTTCAGAGCTTGAACGTCTCATCAATGGCAGAAAGGTATACAATGAAAATCACCTCTCTCGACTTTTAATTTCTTTTAAAAAATGCTTAATCGATTGAATGGAAGTTACAATGACAAAATCGAAATCGTTGAAAAACAGTAACAAAATTTGAGATCTGAAACTGTTACTACTGTTATTTAACATTCGAGTCGTCGTCTTCGTTCAACCGATCCTCTGAAACAAAATCCGAAACAGCATCTTCTGGGCAGATTGGTCATTTCAAACAGATTCGAGGCCGTTTTCAGTTACAATGTTATTTTCTCTTTCACGCACTAAAAACACACTGCAGACACAAATCAAAATACAGTAACGACTGGTTGCAGAGTGTACTTTTTCCTTCGTCTACTTTTTTTCGCACCGCTTCCTACGTGCAATTATATGATGCATGTCGGTACTTTTACAGAATTGCCCTTGGCTCAAGATCACTTTAATGGCATTCCATTTTATGTTTGTGTATATGTTGTGCATCACTTTCCATTCTCTCTCACTCACATTCCGAAATTGTGTGTGTGTTTTTTTCTGAATGATAATGAAATTCCGATACATCAGACATTTTTTTTTCTTTTTAATATAGCTTGCATTGATGACTGACAACAACTGTTTTTGTTTTTTACTTTTTATATTCTTTGCTTTCTGATTTCCTAATTTTAGCTTGATATTTTAAATACAGAGCAAAGGCGTCTGAAGCTTTGAACGAAAATGCTGTTCAAGATCCTGAGGAAGTGGTCTCCATGGTTGAAATGTAAAACTCTCTCTCTGTAAATTCTCTGAATCTATACTAAATTTGGAAGAGTAAAAATAAAATTGAGAAACTGTTTATAATAGCATTAATTGGGTTTAAAAATGGTAGTTGAGAGACCTTGAGGGGGTATTGTTCATGTGGGTATAGGCGTACCTAAAACTCAACTCACTTTTTTTGACTCTTAATTCTACGTATCCGCTTAATAATTAATATAACTTCACATTTATAATCTCCTTTCACATAGGTGAGTTATGTAAGAAACTTTTTTTTTTTTTTTTTTGTCTAGTTACACTTAACATCATTCTCAACTCACATGGGATGTTTATTCATAATCATTAAACTCATTGATTTTAATTTCAAATGGTGCACATTGTTTTGCCGGGAAGTTAGATACCTTTAAATTATTATACATAATTTTGGATTTTGATGAAATTGGAATTCGAGATTTTCTTTTACATGTTTTGGTTATAAAATGACAGGAATTTAATCCAGTGCTAAAAAATGTAAAAGGATTTCACTTTTTATATATCTTATATATATATTATATATATTCTATATATATATCTATATATATATATATTGAAATAAATGAAAACCCAAATTTAGTAGCAAACATCCTTCAATTTTGGTAAAAGCCCAACAAGAGCACATGAGCACAATTATTAATAATAGTTAAAACACTGCTGCTAACTTCCTTTTTTCACACTCAAGTAAACGTACCAAACAAATCTTCTTTTTCTCTTTCTTTTTAGAAAATTACATCTTTAGTCCCTTAATATTGTTGATTTTTGTAATTTTGGTCTTCAAAGCTTTTCTTTTACAAATTTAGTCCTCGTTTGAGGTTTACAAATATAGTCATTTTCATTAAAACGTCTAGTAAAAACATTAAAAAACATCAAATTATGTCCAAAGATACAAAAGAACACTTTAAGACAAACATTGTAAAAATTAGGGGTGGAATTGGTACGGTACCAAGTTTTTTTCCTCCAAACCGTGTATCGTACCAATTATAATTGACATAAAGTTTTACCTACCAATACCGTACCAATGATACTTGGTACCAATTTAGTTGGTTACTAACAAATTTGGTTGGTACATATTGGTATTGGTATATACCAAAATATTTAAATAATATTTATACTTGAAGAGTTTGAGACTATAATCTATATAAGACTTCACATTATAATCATCACTGAATGGTTAGAAAGTTTTCCAAATATGAACGTGAGTTGAAGTTGTTGTCGTCGCTTGTTTTAGTAAATATTTTTAGTGTCATGTATCTTCCTTAACCTTGTGTTAGTAATTTCTTTTACTATAAAGTTTCGTTCAAAAAAGAATCAATATCAATAGAATTATATTAGTAACTACGACTATTACTTCTTAGTTGTTACTCCTAATTAAAACTTGAAAATGTAAGAATTGATATATATATATATCTATATATTATATATATCTATATATATATATATATATATATATATATATATATATATATATATTGGTTGGTATGGTACAACCGTGGTATTCAAAATTTTGTATCATTACCGTACCAAGACTACTTAATTGATATAATATTACCAGCCAAACATATTGGCTACCAAACATGTTGGCTACCGATTTTATTGGTTCGGTTGGTAAGATGTTGGTTGGTTATCCGTAGTAAAAATCAGTTTATACTAAGATGAAAAACATATACTTTACTTTTGTTGTTCTCATTTTTTCAGTTTTGGTCCTAAAAGAATTTTTTTGGCAATTTTAGTCCTCAAATGATAATTTATGATTATTGATTATATTTAAATTTTGTCGCAAAACTCATTTTTTTATAACATAAAGCCTCAATCAAAAACAAAAACAAAAACTACATAAGAAAAATATTTTTAAACTAAAATTACATAAATCGAACAAAAAATGTAACTTAGTAATTTACTCTTTTTTATCTTTTAACAAAGTAGTAATTTATATTTAATGATATGAAACAGGGTAATTAAAAACAACACCGAAAGAAGAAAACTCGGAACTTCTCATGTGGAACCGGAAACCCAATCGACGATTGCTGGCGTTGCGACCCAAACTGGCAAAAAAACCGGAAACGTCTCGCCGACTGCGGCATCGGATTTGGCCGGAATGCAATCGGAGGTCGCGACGGCCGTTATTACATGGTCACAGATTCCGGCGACGACGATCCGGTAAACCCACGACCGGGCACCCTCCGCCACGCCGTCATTCAAGATACCCCTCTTTGGATCGTGTTCAAACGCGACATGGTGATTCAATTGAAACAAGAACTTATTATGAACAGTTTTAAAACCATCGATGCTCGTGGAGTCAATGTTCATATCGCGAATGGAGCTTGTATTACTGTTCAATTTGTTACTAATGTTATTATTCATGGGTTACATATTCATGATTGTAAACCTACCGGAAATGCTTTGGTGAGAAGCTCGCCGGAGCATTTTGGGTGGCGGACGATGGCGGATGGTGATGCGATTTCGATATTCGGGTCGAGTCATATTTGGGTGGATCATAATTCGTTGTCGAATTGTGCTGATGGGCTTGTGGATGCTGTTATGGGCTCGACTGCTATCACTATTTCTAATAATTACTTCACTCATCACAATGAGGTAAAAAAACAATTACTTCACTATTTCTATTTTTCATCTTTTGATATTACTAATTTACCTGATTGTTATTCAAATAATTGAGTTGATTTTTAAAAGTAATAATGTCATAAAAAGGAAAAAATAAAATTATGACGTCATAAATGGCTAGATTTTTGTAGGTACAAAAGAAAAAAAAAATAACTATATTGTCGTAGAAAGAAATAGAAATAGAATGCTGTAATAAAGTAATAAATAGAAGTACATTGTTATTTCTTGTAATTAGACCATTTTTTCTATTGTTAAATGCAAAAGAAAAATGTCAACAATAAAGAGATCTATATTGTTGTATTTTACTATTAAACCATTATACTTTGAAAATATCTATGCATTTTAGCAATGTTATCAAAATACAAAGTAATTTTTCAATTCTATAATTGGGTAGATTTTGTAATGTATTAGATATATATTAGTAAAAAAGAATTCAAAACCAATGCTATAATTGAATATATTTTTAAAGTCCAATTTTTAGTAAGAAAAAGAAAATAAAAATGTGTTTAAATTTTGATAAACATAGTCATTTTCTCTATAACTTAAATGTGAAATGTTATTTGATGAAAATAACAAAACAGGTGATGTTGTTGGGGCATAGCGACTCATACACAAGGGACAAACTTATGCAAGTCACAATTGCCTATAACCATTTCGGAGAAGGTCTTATTCAAAGAATGCCAAGGTATTAATTTATTAATAACTTAAAAAAAATACATAATACTAAAATTAGACAAAAATGCAAAACTAAAATTTGGTAAATTTTTTTAAAAAAATTGACAGATGCAGACATGGATATTTCCATGTGGTAAACAACGACTACACCCACTGGGAAATGTACGCAATTGGTGGAAGTGCAAACCCCACAATCAATAGTCAAGGCAACCGATACCTTGCTCCTGTTAATCCCTTTGCCAAAGAGGTACTACTACTTTTAACTTCCTGTACTTCTCATAATTACTTTTTTTTTGTTTTTTTTTTCCTTTTTTGTTATTGTTCACTTTAAACTCATACCAAAAATTAAAAGAATATTTAATTTTTTAACTTATTGTTATTATTATTATCATTATTTTGCATTCAAAGCTAGTGATTATTACATTTTTGACCTTTCGGTTCTCGTTGACTCAAAGTCAAACTAACCATTAATAAATTTTAATTAAAAAAAAAAAAAACAATTTACAGGTCACAAAAAGAGTGGATACAGCTGCAAGCCAATGGCACGGATGGAACTGGAGATCAGAAGGCGATTTACTCCTTAACGGCGCTTATTTCACTCCATCCGGCGCCGGCGCCTCCGGCAGTTACGCTAGGGCTTCAAGTTTAGGTGCCAAGTCATCTTCCATGGTCGCCACCATCACCTCCGGCGCCGGCGTCCTAAACTGCCGTAGAGGCCGCCAGTGCTAACCGCCGTTATCCTTCCGTCAATTCTCTTTTTCTTTTTTTTCTTTTTTCTTTTTTCTTTTACAGCTTCCACTATCATCACCTTATATACACTACTTTTTATTTTTATTTTTCTTTTTCATTCATCATTTTCGAAGTTCAACCAACTGCCAAAGAGCAGATCCGTAGCGTTGTTTATGATTATCTTTCCTTCTTCATTCTACCAAAACCCATTATCCATTTATCCCCTTCTACCTACCTACCCGACCCGGGTTTATTGGATTACAGGATCCGAATGTGTTAATTTTATTTATTTTGGTAATGGTAGTTTTTCTCATATGTGAATGTCAAAAACTATGAGTATTGAAAAAGGAAAAAATAGAAAGGGGAAATTATTTGTTGTTATGGTGTATGGGTCATTGGATTGGATATATTGTTGGATCTCTTTACTTTTTCTTGCGAATGGAAGCAAGAATCTTTTTTCTTTTTTGGATTGGTGACACGTGGTGCAATCCTTTTACTCTTTTGATATTGAAAAGGTTTGAGGACATTATGTTTTTGTGTCAACCCTTTGTAATGATCGTGTGTCGAAAGTATGATCAATCGTATATGATTCTTTATCGAAGTTGGGCAATTTTTATAACCCCTTTTTCCTTCTCGCATAAAGTAACTAAATGCTGGAATTTGAAGCTTAAATTCGAAGCAAATCGGGTATTCTTTTTAGAGCATGTAAAGTGTATTTAGTAAAAAGAGTTGGTATATGAGAATTAAAAGTCAGATTTTATTATGTATAAATATTTTGTAAAAATATATGTAAGCTTTTATAAGATTTAAAATTACAGAAATATATAAACTATAAAACAAAAACTAATAAAAGCTTTTAAAAGTTATTTGAAATAATTTTTGGATTATTAGCTTTTTATTCTAATGTAAATTTTTTTAATTCGGTTAACTCAAATGGTGTTTTTTTTTTCTTTATTCAAGTTTTTTATAGGTTAAAAGTTTTCAAAAACACATGACACCAAAATAAAACATAAAATTGAAAAATATAAGTTATAGAAAATTAAAAATGTACTTACCTTCTGTATCAAATTAACCCCGTAGGCTTAAAGTCAAGTGGTTTAGTTGGCTAAAAAAACCCTTTCATGGTCATTGCCTTGTAATTTTGTTAGTTCTCTAGTGTTTTTGATATTTGTCAAAGTAATAAATAAACCTAAAGCATAAAATTGAAAAATGTAAGTTAATAGACATGCACTTCACGTTCTTTATCAAAATAGATAATGTATAATCTTTGCCTACATTGTGGTTGTATATTTCTCTCGATTAAGGAGATATATAATATTTTTAACTGATTACCGGTTAAAAATATTGTTGGCTAATGACAATGGTGACGTGACATTTTTTTCTTTTGACTTGGTTGCCACATGTGGACCAAGATCTTGATTCTTAAAAACCGGCTCATGTGATATCTCTGAATGACAATGACTCGTTTCGTCATACATGAGACGGTTGAGGTGGTGTCGAAGAAGAAAGGGAATTTGATTGCATCGGTGGGTCAGATGGATAGGGAGGTGTAACCTAAAAAACTGTATAATTAAAGTAAACGATATTTTTCAAAAAAAAAAAAAAAAACAATTTCAAATAAAATTTTCAAAAATAGTCCATGTAATCGTGTTTGTTTTTAATGTTTAAAAACTTGTGTCACACTCATGGTCATGTCTACATTGGCCGAAAAATATGTATTGGGTTCTATTTTGAGCCACAAACAATATGTCTATATTAATAAATTAATAAAATTAGTTATTATTTGTCACAATTTAAAGTTTAAAAAATGATTGACACTTAGAGAATAAGGAAGCAAAAGGTGGATTTATAAATTATTATATCATATTTGGGTATTTCTAATTTAGAATTAGGAAGCAAAAGGTTGATTTATAAAGTATATTATCATATTTGGGTATTTCTAATTTAGAATAAGGAAGCAAAAGGTGGATTTATAAATTATAATATCATATTTGGGTATTTCTAACTTAGAATAAGGAAGCAAAAGGTGGATTTATAAATTATAATATCATATTTGGGTATTTTTCTAATTTTCTATTTCCATTGGATATTTAGATGTCATTATACAAAATCCAAAAGAGATCCTTGAATGAAAGAAGGAGAGGATTTAGGTTTAAGGGTCATGTGAGGTCTGGGCCATGATCAGCATGTGCATGTGACTCTAATCGTGGGTAGGTCCTGTTTTCAATACATTAATATATAGATGTGGTAATGGTAATGGTAATGGTAATGGTAGGGGCATTTCCTTTTGGCTTCAATTGCATTGCCATGTTTACATGGATTTAGTGAAGCAAACACATTCCAACATTTTCAAGCTTTTATCCTATCATGGGAAGGGTTAACGTTATTTTGTCCAATTAGGCAAGGTAATTTTATATATATATATATATATATATATATATATATATATATATATATATATAATATATATATATATATAATATATATATATATATATATATATATATATAATACTCATCCATAATAAATTTATAAGCTATTGTACTAGAATCATTGGATAATATGGATAATAGGTGGATTAAGTTGAATATAAATATATCATGCGTAACATGCATGAGGGTGTTGGTTTGTTCATGTTGATTTTTTGTTAAATATAAATATATGTCTAAATATTTGTATTGTTTAGTTTATTTTGTTTTAGGGTTTAAAATCACAAACTAACTAATCAAAGTTTGTTTTTTCGTCATGTATTCGAGTCGTTATGCTTTTGAATATTATCATACTTAGTTTGTGTTTGGTTACAAGCTTTTAAGAGTTTTGTGTGATTTTTGATTTTAATTTTAAAAAAAATTAACGAAAAAATGTATGTTAGAGAGTAAGGACAGCTTTTACACGTTTTAAAAGTTCATAATTATTTTTGTCAAACATTTCGATATAAATAAAAACTATAACTTTCAACTTTTAGTTGTCAACTATTTTAACAATTATACTTTAGAATATTGTTTTTTCTTGACACGTGAATATCTACTTCTCATTTAAAATCAAATACACACTTTCTATCAAAAAAATAAGTCATCCATAAATCAGCCAGTTTTTGACAAATTTATCAAAATCGTTCAAATATCATTTTTTTTTCGAGTTCATATTGATTTGTGTAATGCATCGAATTAAAACAGTATCATTCAAGTCCTTTAACATAGGGTAGAGACCATTATTAATGGTGGTCTACAACAATTGACTTTTAGTTTTAAACTTGATCACCGCAATCAACTCCAAACTCTATGCCAATTAACAACTCAAGATTAATTTACAACTTGAAGTTCTAACTTATCTCCAAAATCTAGAACTTCATGTCTTCAACTTGAAGTTCTACTGTAAATTTCACATAAACAAAATGATGTCACGTAAATTGGTTTCAGTTGGATACATAAGATGATTTATTTGACATCCATTCAAGGTTTTTCAAAGGCATTCATCATGTTCCATTGAGTTGTTAGAAGTCCAGTGTAATGTCTACATCAAGCATCATAATTAACGCCACCAAATGTTCGAGCATTGTGCAGTTAGGCTATAAAGCATTAAGTGTATTTCAACGGAAATTCTATACATACCCCTTAAACAATGGCGGCCCCCTAGGGTGTGCGAGTGATGCGGTCATACGGAGGTTCCAATTTTAAGGGACCTCCAAATTCATGGACAAATATATAGTTATGGTGTTGGTATTTTCATTAAATACGTTTTAATATGTTATTATTAAAGAAAACTAGTAATGTCATTTAACTATAAAAATAATGTGATATTTGGTTGTAACCTTGAAGTAATTTTAATTGCGAAAAAAATCATCAAAAATCAAAATCTTATCATAAATTCTATAATTTATCAAAAGTTTAAGGAAATATCTATTTAAAAAATTATAAAACTTACAAAAAAGATCAAACCCTAAGAATGCTAATAACGGTGTCGGTAGATCATCAGCAACGGTGTTGCTCGTCTCTCTCGTCGGAAATTGTTGTCATGAATGATTTATATGTGCATTCATAATGAAGTTAAACGGTCACAGTAGGGCATTTATTTGTGATGTATTTGTGATTTATCACTATGTTTTATTGTTTTAGTTTTTTAATGTTTGGTATAAACAATCACAGTAGGACATTTAGGGCATCGGAGGATTTAGGGTGGGATGGGGGAAGGGGACAATGGCCTTTCCATTTTTTGGTTTCTAGTATTAATATAGTTTAATACTAAGAAAGATTAGAAAACAAATCAAATTATGTTTGATGTCTTAATTGTTATAAACATTAACTTTTTAACAAATATTACAAATATATATTGTTAATTTATTAACATTGATTTCTTTTAGTTACAAAAAGATGTCTGCAACTATAAAATTTAAATAGGGTTGTTCTAAACATAAAAGAAAAAAAAAACAATTTATTCATGGTCAAATAGGATATATCAATTGATTTATCGTCAAACAAATGCCGAAATATAATCTTAATGAAGAATCGATTGTGGAAGAACATAGAAGCTGAATTGCATGTGCTAGTAAATATGGATGAAGTTCATGAAGTTGTTGAAGAACCTAGAGAAGAATTTTATGATGTTATGAAAGAATATAGAAAAGAAGAAATTGAACTACAAGTGCAAGAAGATAAGCCTTGTGTAGATGAAGACATAACCACCTTGAATGGTAATGGTGATGATAGAGAAAATATTTTAGCGAACATTTATTATCCTATAAACCGGAACATCTAATGAACAAAGACATGATGTTGTGGTAGTGAATTTAAAAGATGTTTGTCAGCAACTTTAAGTTTTGAATTTTGTGGCAACAAATTTACTTAATAATATTTTACAAGAAAATTTTTCTGGGGCCCCACTTTGATTTTCGCACAAGGCCTCTAAAATGCCAGGGTTGGGCCTCCCCTTAAATTGCTTTGTGTACCCCTTGTGAGTGGTATAATGTGTGTTTACCCCCTTTATTTGACAATTTATATGAGTGAGGAAATTACATATAGTAACATCCATTTCAACATTTCAACATTTCAGGCTATATCACCACTATATCAGTTGCTTCATCAACCTTTCATACTATTATTTTTTTAAAAATAATCACTCTTCTACCTTTTACCACAACCCTATATATAAAAGACACGTAAATGTAAAAGTAAAATCAACTTGAGTATTAAAAGACAAACTACATGCTAAATAATAAAAAGGTAAAATTAGAACGAAATTAAGGGTGCTCGGTATGCCTTCAGTAGGTCCTGCTTATATCGCATAAATGATATGCATGCTCTTGAAAGAGAAGGAGTGCCTTCTTCTCCTTCCCCCCATCATGTAGTTCCTCCGGAGGATACATTTTTCTTCTTTCTCTCCTTCTGACGTTGGGACTATCTCAAACATTCTTGTTGCAACTCTCTTTCTAGCTAGCACAACCCTGCCTTTAGTTAATCCTCATTCAGCCACCCTGAGGGCGCTTTGAGTACACTAATCATGTATATCGTTTCTCTCAAAATTAGAGTATTGCTTAAATTCATTAAATGATCTTTATGCCTTGATGTTTTCTTACTGTACTCTTTTTGTCTAAATTGTACTTTTTGAAAAACATTATTTAAAACTATTCGGAGGCGATTCTGACCTTCCTTTTCTGGTGGGCTCAAATGTTGTGAGAGGTTCGATCAGTTAGCAATGGGTGATTAGAGAAAAGTCTCTAGTAGATCTAAGGAGAAATCTTGTGCACCATGTATCCCACTCTGTCTTTGTTACAAACTTTCCGAAGCGATTTTTTCTCAGGAACTTTGTAAAACTTGTGAATAATATGGTCGATTATTGATGTGTATATTTCGTCAAGGAGATTGAAAGAGCGTAAGGTATTTACGTTTCTTAGATTCATTAAGGTGAATAAATGTGAAATGCTAACTGGAAATCTTTATACCATATTGATTAGAAGTTTATGTCTTCATGCAAATATGCCTAAATTCCAACATTGTCCTAGGTTGGGCACTAAGCCGATGGCAAAACCTCTTGGCTCCATTCCTCATGTTGGTGTTTCTTGTCTCCATGTTGGCTCGTATGTTAAGGAGGTGATAGGTAATCCTTCGAATTCTAAGGGTCACACAATTGCTAGTGATTAGCTAGAGATCTGTCTTGATAACAATTGTTTGATCAATAAGGATTACTCTTTAACTCTAGTAGGAAAGGGTAAAGAATTTGGTTTTCTACCAAATTTTAGGGTTATTTGTTCTAATGAAGGCTTCCAAGATACAATATTGCGTTACAAGGGGGATTTTTGGGTGTCTCTGAAATTCTTATATGTGTAATCTAAGGAGAAGTTCTTGAATCATATTGGAGTAGTAGCATCTTGGTTCTCTACTCGTATGCCATGGTATGCGTCTTTTCTGGTTGATGAACGAATTATTTGGGTTGATGTGGAAAGTCTTCCTTCGATTGCTTGGACCCCAAATTCTTTTAAAAACATTGATAATCGATTGGGTGTACTTTTGCACTCTGAAGATCTGAATGATAACAATCTAATGGTTATGTATAAAGACCACTATTTCAGTTCTTATTTTTTTAGTATTTTAAGGTGATTATTCAAGGAAATGTCTCTATTGTAAGAGCATGACAAATCATAGGATGGAATCCATATTTCATTGATGATGATGATGATGATGATGTTATTGAAGCAGAAGAAGTTTACGATCATCAAGAGGTTCCTACTGCTCCTGTCATGCCTTTGATGGATCGGGCTAAGGTTGAAACGCATGAAGATGAAAGTGAATGAGTATATGAATCTGTTTTTTATGAGAATCCTGCTGATTCGAAGGTGAATGAAGTTTCTAAACAACACTCGGAGGATACTTTTGGTATATATGAAGTGTTGGAAAAACAAGTGAATGGCAAAACAAATGTTTGTGAATCAGATCCCCCCCCCCCCCCCCCCGAGTTTTACTCCGCCAATGGGATCTCATCGTTCATGTAAGATGTCTTTTTATAGTGTTGTTGTTCCTTGCTATTCTGTTAAGGAAACTCGTGCCTATATGTTGTTGGAAATAGGTGTCCAATGTCATAACTAATTGGTGTAACTTTGGAAATAATAACAAAGTCCTTTTAGAGTTGTCCTCAAGACCTAAATTGTTAGAAAAGGATTTAAGAAAGTGAGATAAATAGTTTATTAATATATTACATGTTAATAAATTACTTAGAAACTAGTTAGATATAATTTGGAATTAATTAGAATTAATCAGGATTTATTTAAAGGTACACAAACTGATTGTTGATTGTTTAATAGTTGAGCAATAAGAACATTCTGGAAACCCTAAAGAGGGTGGACGGTTTTGAGGAGCTCTAGGAGCTTCTGGAATCGATCCAGATAACAGATAAGGAAAGGATTTGAATAAGTATTAAATATGATATTTAATTGCTTTAAATCACATTTATCTGCAAGTTACCTTACCTATATAAAGACCCATCTGGCCTTTATAAAATATGATTCTACCTCTTGTAAGGTTGAAGAATTTGGTTCTCATAGCCTCTCCCCTCTCTCCTTAATTTCTAGTGTTTTTGACTTTTGGGCATGAGCCTTTAGAGGCATTCCTACTTTGAGTGCTAGATCCTTCTACAAGAAACTAAGGGTTCAAGATCTTCAAGGAATCATAAGTATATACAATTATACTTGAAAGGTTAGTAATCCTATCCCTTTTGGTAGTTTATATTCATAGTTTTCAAAGTAGGTTGCTATAATAGTAAAACTTAGATGTAGGGGTGTAACACCCGATTCAAGGTACTTTTCATTTTGACCCTTGGTATGTAAAATATTTTTTTGTAAATTTGGTCCCTAAGGGGAAGTTTTGCCATTTTTAGAAATCCAGGAACACGCGGGGCGTACTTCTCTTACGCAGGGCATACGCATCCAGGGGACAAACCCTAAATTTTAGAGTTTAGAGCCTATTTAAACAACATGATGACCCATGATCCTCTCATTTCTCATCCTTCATTGCCCTTTAAGTCCCATTTCGAAACCCTAGCCCCTCTTGAGGAGATTTGACCCTCTTGTGTGTGTGTTTTTAGTGTGTATTGGTGAGATTTGAGGAAGAAAAGCTTGGAAGAAAGAGCCTTGATCAAAGGAGAACTTGTAGATCCAGACTTCACACACCATTTGCAACTTCATTGAGGTATAAAGCTTGGAACTTGCTCCATGTATGCTTAGATCTAGTCTTGATGAAGTATTTGTCCCTTTTTGGTCCTATGATGAGATCTAGTGGTTTTCTTCCACTCTAGAAGTTAGAAGTTGCTTCTCTTGATGTTTCTGAGGTCCTTAGTCCAGAAAGTTAGCATCTTTATAGTTGTGGATCAACCATGCATGTGTTTAGGTCCATTTTGTGAAATTAGAATGCCAAAAGTAAGGTTTAGGTTCTTTTGAGCCATGCAAAGGCTTAAAGTCTTCGTCTTTATGGGTTAAGGCCTTGATATGATGTCGATTTGAGGATTGGTCGTTAAGTTCTTAAGTACTTAAGACTTTTAGGCAAGAACTTGAATTCAGGCCAGTACGTTGGGCGTATTCCTGAGTAGGCAAGGCGTACTGGGTGCAAGCCTCGATTCCAGATCAGTCACGTACGTAGGGCGTACGAGCCAGGTACGCCGAACGTATGCTAAATCAGTGGGTTGTTGGAGTTGTGGGCTTGGTCTTAGTTGGGCTTAGTTTTGTTGGGGCTTGGACCTTAAACTTCTAGGGTATCAGATCATTTCTGGACTTTGGGCCCATGATGGGCTTTGGGTATCATTTAGGGATTTGGGTCGTATTAGGCTTGTAGGTGCTATGGAGTTGGGCCTTGGATATTGGGCCAAGTGAGGAAAGGGTAAAATGGCCTTTTACCCTGTGTTTTGGTCAAATGAACTAGATTCATATTTATGGTTCATGGCCGAAATATTAATTGGGGTTTATGTGATTGATTAGCGCGGGGATTTTTTGGATTAACAGTCCGAGCATTTATCCGATTTTCAGCAGTTTGAGGTGAATCTCCTCATTGTACTTGAAGGGTCGAAGGAACCAATGTCAGCCCATGATTTATTATGATTAGGATGCTAGTTGTCAGTGTGACTTTTGCATGTGGAGTATGTGATCTGTATACCGGGCGGGGTCCGATACCAGGCGAGGCCTGATGGGTGTATTGTATGCTATTTATCTTAGTGATTCTTGCATGTGTTTATGTGTCTGTATAAATGTCAGTTGGGGCCCAATGCCAGGCGGAGCCTAAAGAATGTGACAGGCAGGGCCCATTTCATGTTCTGACAGATCTGTTCTGAGTGGGGCTCGATGTCGGGTGGGGCCCGATGGTTGTTGGGCATGGCCCATTGTATGCTTGATATGTATGATATGAGGTATTTTGGGGAACTAACTAAGCTTCGTTCTTATGGTTTTCAGTTTATGTCAAGTATTTCCGGTCGAAGGGGAAGGGATCGGGATGATCGCATTGCACACACCATGTTGTTTTGCGTTTTGTTGACTTGATGTATTTGGATGATTATCGGAATACTCTAATTTTCTTTTTTGATTTATGAACACGTTTTGGATGATGGTTTTATTATTATAAAAATGAAATTTTTGGCCTTAAATTTTGGGACGTTACAAGTTGGTAGATTTTTCATAAAAAAGGAAATGTTTTATGAAAAGAGTTTTTCTAATAAAAGAAAGGGGTGTGGTGCATGCAATCGACCGAGCTCAAGTAAGTTTTCCCAAAATACCCATACATGTTTTATTATTATGCTTTGAATTGTGAATCTGTGAATCGTATGCTGCATTAGGGCTTAGGATATAGGAGAGATGCCTTTGTATGCCTGTTATATGAGCTTTTAGACTTGCATGCTAGTACTGATCAATTAGTGATAGGATGGCATGTTTAGGTTATCCTTGATTCCAATTACTCGATGCTCGAATGCTGCTTGCTTAGTGCTTTTAGGAGTCCCCATTAACTTCAGCTAACTAGTAACCAAATATGATAAGTTAAATATTATTGAGACTAGATAATTTTAGAAGGTTAGGGTTTAACTCTATTACCCAGCTCTTGTATGAGTCCAACTGTTCTAGTGTGAGACCTTTCATTCGAAGAACTATCTGGTGTCGGTGATATGTAATTGTATTCGTCAGCTAGTTAGAGTGTGTTAAGGGGAGTTCCTTCTGCAGCTGATGACAGAGATTAGTGTAGGGGTTGCCATAGGAATAGATTCGGTGCTGGCAACATTGCCTTGTTGAGGGTTGTATGTATAGATAAGGGAGTAACTTGGAGGATTCGGAGCGATCCTTGAGGACAGTATGGATAGATGTGGAAGGTAGTATGAGCTCGTACTACTGGAAGCAAAGGATCCGTACTCGAGTCAAGTAAAGCTATGATGACACCAGGAAGCTTGTAGAGTATGGGATACCTCGATGTGTGTATATATATATATATATATATATATATATATATATATATTTGTGTTATGATGGTTTGAATGGTCTATTTTCAGTATGGTGGTCACTCGAGGAGGATTTGGTAGTGGTTCTGGTGTCGGTGAGGGTTCGGGCTCTGGGGCCGGACATTTGGATGATTAGATGTGGGAGTTCATTTCAATAGAGATTACCTACAGTATTCTTGAGCAGACTCATGTGATATTCGACACGGTCAAGGAGGGTATCCTGGAGATTTTGGATGAGCGCTTGGGTGCTTTTCGTTATGAGATAGCAGCGATGATGGGAGCTCGCAATTTGACATACCGTGAGTTCCAGGCATGTGGAGACCCATAGTTCTTTAGGAAGAAGGACCTGATTGCAAGCAGATGTTGGTTGGCAAACGTCGAGAATGCCTTCTGATCTAGCCTTTGTCCTGAGGAGGCAAAGTTCTGACTTGCATCCTGTCTTCTAAAGGACAGAGCTCGAGACTGGTGGGAGGAGGTTGGGTACGCCTTGGGAGGCGAGGCGATTGAGTCGATGACTTGTGAGGATTTTGTGACAAGATTTCTGGCTGAGTTCGCACCTATGATTGAGGTCTGGCAGGTTGCGAGGGAGTTTCAAGACCTTCAACAACTAGTGCCAGGCGATATCTTCAGCAGGGTTGTTCCGGATTTGTCGACTATGTTATGGATACCCGGGAGAAGGGTAAGGTGACTGTGGATGATGTGCCGATTGTTCGGGAATATCCAGATGTGTTCCATGATGACTTTCCTGGAGTGCCTGCGGAGAGGCAAGTGGAGTTTCGGATTGACTTGGTTCCCGGTGCGGCTCCGATAGCAAAAGCACCCTATCGGTTAGCACCTCTAGAGATACAGGAGTTGTCTACACAGTTATAGGAGCTGTTAGACAAAGGGTTCATTCGGTCGAGTAGTTCACCATGGGGAGCGCCGATCTAATTTGTGAAGAAGAATGATGGGTTACATCGGATGTGTATCGACTAATTTGTATCGACTAATTTGAGAGCCGATCTAATTTGTATCGACTACCGGGAGCTAAATAAGCTAACGGTGAAGAACCATTATCCACAACTGAGGATTGGCGATTTATTTGACCAGCTTCAGGGTGCATCTTAGTTTTTCAATATTGATCTGCATTCGTGTTATCATCAGATGAGGGTCAGAGAGGAGGATAAGCATAAACAGCCTTCTGGACTCGTTATGGTCCTTACGAGTTTGAGGTGATGCCCTTCAGGCTCACCAATGCTCCAGCTACATTCATGGACCTCTTGAATCGCATATGCAGACCCATGTTGGATCGACATGTGATTGTGTTTATCTATGACATCCTGGTCTATT